AGAAAAACCAAAAAAAAAAAAAAAAAAAAAAACTATATGCTGCCTGCAAGAGCTACACCTTGTCTACAAAGAAACACACAAGCTGAAATTAAAAGGATGAGTAATTACACTCCATGCAGTTGGAACCCAAAAAGAAGGAGGACTAGCTATTCTAATTTCTGAAAGTTGACATTAACCCAAAACTGATCAGAGGAGACAAAGAAGGAAAAAGATACTTTACTGATAAAAGGAACAACTCACACCAAAGAGATAACAATTGCAAGTATAGATGTACAGAATGTGAGTGTACTCAATTTCATAATACAAAAAAGGACAGATAGATACCAATGCAATCATAGTGTGGATTTTAATATCTCACAAATAGTTCAACTGGACAAAAAAATCTAAAAGATATATCAGTTAAATCACACCACAGAATAAATGGCTTTAAACATATCTACAGTGTTTCATCTAGCAACAACAGAATATACATTCTTCTTAGGTGTTTACAAAACTTCCTCCAAAATAGACCATATTTTATGCCATAAGGCATACCTTAATAAATAAAAACTGAATAATCTCTTCCACCCTATCAGATCACATGGAATAAAACTAAATAATCAATAGCAAAAAACCCATACAAACTACACAAACATATGAAGATTAAATAATACACTTCTGAATGATCAGTGGCGCATGGAAGAAAGACAAGCCAGGCGTGGTGGCGCATGCCTGTACCCCAACACTCAAAAGGCTGAGGCAGGTGGACTGTCATAGGTTCAAGGCCAGCATGAGCTTCATAGTGAGTTCAAGCCCAGTCTGAACTGCACAGCAAGACCCTATCTCAAAATAATATGAAGAAAAGACAAGAAAAATACAAAAATTCCTAGAATCAAATAACACTGGAAATACTTTTCAGACTTTGTAGTATATACACAAAGAAAACAATTGCAAGAGAAAAGTCCATATCTGTCAGTGCCTATGTTAGAGAAATGAAAGATCCCAAATAACCTAATGATGCATCTCAAGGTCCTAGAAAAGTAAAAATAACCAGAACCCCAAACCAGTAAAAGAAAAGAAATTATTAAAAGCAAAGCAGAGATCAATAAATTAAGTAAAAAAATATTAAAAAGCAATGAATCAGAGTTGGTTCTTTGACATATAAAATTGAACCAAGAAGAAGCTCCAAATGGACAAATAATGGAGAATGAAATTGATATAATAATAGAAACTCCACCACTAAGAAAAGCCCAGGCCCCAGTGGATTCATTGCTGAATTTTAAAAGAATGTCAGAGAAGAACTAATGTCAATATTCCTCTCTCAGATGAAATTGAAAGGGAAGGGACAGTGCAAAACTCAATTTTATGAAGCCAACAGTACCCTAATACCAAAACATATACAAATACTCAATCAAAAAAAAAAAAAGAAGAAGAAAGGAAAGGAAGGAGGTAGGGAGGGAGGGAGAGAAAGAGAAAGAGAAAGAAAAGGAAGGAAAGAAGGAAGGAAGAGAAAGAAAGAGAGAGAGAAAGAGAAAGAGAGAGAAAAATAAAGAAAGAAAGAGAGAAAGAGAAAGAAAGAGAGAGAAAAAGAAAGAAAGAAAGAAAGAAAGAAAGAAAGAAAGAAAGAAAGAAACTGAAAGAGGACACTGAATAACTGACTACAGGCCATTGTCCTTGAAGAATATATTTACAAAAATCCACAACAAAATGCTTGCAAACAGAAT